AAAAAAAAAGATTCTGGCGTCATCTTTGCTGTTACAGTCAAACCGGCAAAACCGTGAACACTAGAAATATTTCAGGAATGTTGATTGTGCCGCAACCAATCACGGCAAAGATCAGGACACGTGAACTGGCCACAAAACCCCAAACAAATTAACGTTCTGGCTTGCCGTTTAGTTTCTCGCAACACAATAACATTCTAGAAGTATTTCTTGTGTTCACGGTTTTCTCAGTTTCACTGTAATTTCTCCTGGGTGTTGCAGTTATCCCAAGCGAAATTGAACACAATGCTTATGCATTTTTGGGGGGAAGGGGAGGGCAGGGGCGTACAATGTGTATCATGGGAGATGTGCTAAATGTGAGTGCCCAGTTTCAGAGTAGAGCAGTCCCGCCAGTATTGTCACGTGATCCACAATGAAACAAATCTGAGATAATGACTAGATAGTTAAAATAAATAAATTGTACATTTTTATCTCTTGGGTCTGTGGATCAAACCGCGGAAAACCTTGCAAACGAGTAATTTACCCATCTGGAAAACATGTGACCCAGTTAAAGTAAAACAGTATATAGCTGCAATTTTATCCCTCTTTTTTCATAGAAGGCTTCTCTGTCCAACTCTTTAGTTGCGTGAAACGTTCTAGAAGCAGTGGCAAAAAGACTTGATTAAGGATGACTTTTTTCAGAAATTAGGCCTTGTTTTCCTGGTTTCTTTTCAAAACGATGCTTCTTGAATCTAGGGTTTTCATTCAAGCTTTCTTCCAGTGACGTTTCAAACGGCTATGGGTCTCGCGAGCTTTTTGGTTTCTTTTAGTTTTTTCTTTTCACTTAAAAACAAAAAAATAGCTATTTTAATCGGAAAAATGTAATCTTAGATAGTTTCTAATTGATAACCTTTATTGAAATTGCTTGTAGCGTTGTTTGTTCAAGAGTGATCAGCACTGTTTATGTTTCTCTGTTTGTTGTTTTGCTAAATGGCAATAGGTTTTTTTTTTCTTTATTTTGTCTTCTTGTCGTTATGAAAGGGTTACTCTTAAAGCAGCCTTCGTTTATTTATCTTAAGTTACTCACACGCAAGGAATGGTTGACTCAATTCTAAGTTTACGATCACTACCTTGATCAAAGATTAGCAGCTTAATTAAATAATCTCAGAAAATGAAATCGGCATTGTAAATAAACTTGTGGACTTGTTGAAAATGTTGACTAATACTTGCATATTGTTATTGCTGGGCTGGTTACGGGGCTTAACCCTTCAATCCCTAAGAATGATCAGCATCAAATTTCTCCTTGTAATATCAGAGGTTTGTAAAACAGAGTGGTCATGAGAATTACGGACATGATCACACACGAGGACTTTGCTTGATATTTTATCAACTTCTCTCCACTACTTCTGCAGGGAATGAATAGGGGCAACAAATGAGAATTCAAATTTTGATCTTAGGGTTTAAAGGGTTAAGGGCCTCTTCACATGAGCCTGGTTGACCAGGCTGGCCCGGTTACCGGGACGAATTTCACCTTTGTTTCCTAAAGAGAAAAGGCCAAAGATCCTGGGGACGAGTTCTGGTGCCAAATTCGAGAAACAAAGCAAATATGGCAAAACACAAAAAATCTTAACTTTTGCGCCTATCACAGCTTCGGAAATTAACTCTTAAAGCTGCATCACTGCAGTTAAATGGGATGCTTGTGATGCGGAAAATACAGCAGGCAATGCAAGACGATGACATCCGGACCGCCAGAACTCATCCTGCTTTCATCTCGGTAACTTGTCTGAAGTGTTCATATGGCAAAATTTCCAGCCCGCTTACCGAGCTCTCGGTTGGAAAAAACCAAGGTCTCGGGAACCGAGCCAGCCTGCTCTCTCATATGAACGCATCGAACGTCTTACGAAGCCTTAGAGGTAACGGCGAGATCTCGGAAACCGGGCCATTCCGGTCAACCGTGCTCATGTGAAGAGGCTCTATGGCAACTACGGCGATGGTGAAGGACGACAAAAAAGTAATAGGTCCAACAGATGTAACGAAAACAACGGTTGTTTACTATTTACATGGGCAAACCGGTCAGTCCACGGTTTGGGTTACTGGTACGCAAAATCCAGGACTGGTAAATGTCGTCCCGGAATCGCGGTTACCATTTGTACAAATCAGTTCCATTTACCGAAAACCGATCGCGAAGGGAGGGTTGTAGCCTGCCAAGGAGGTCGGTAGCCTGCGTAGCAGGCCTCAAGAAAGAAAAGGCGCGCAAGAGGGAGACACGTCTCGCGCGCTCGTTCTTCCTTGCGCCCACTACTTCCAAGCGCCTGCTACGCAGGCTAGGAGCGTTGTCCAGTCCAATACACACCAATGGTATCGAAGATGGTTTGAAGAAATAGAAAATGAACTTCCGTTTGGAATATTCCGTCCGGAAAAACAGGACTACCTTTCCAGATGTTCCGTTGCTCCCGGAAATTTCCGCTGGAACGAGCCAAAGAGTTGTGTTCTCTTATTAAACCTGAGATCATGCTCAATTTTCGATTCGCTTTGTAAATAACCAGCTTTTAGCGGTAGCCGTTGCAAGAGAATGTATGAGAACCGCTAAAATTGGGCCTTATGTCAGGTTAGTGTTCCCTTTACTTTCCAACAGAATTTTGTACACGGTGTTAAAACAAGCAACAACTCTAAACGTGACGTTTTATAGAAGACGTAAATAGTCGACGACAAATTTTTCTTTCTCTTTTTAAACCTTGAATGCGTCCTTAGAAATTTAGCCTCAATAAATTTCGCCTGCATTTTACCAATTGAGCCATTTCAAATGATGGCTATATATTTGAAAAAACACAAATGCACTTTTTAAATGACGTTTTTTGCTTTTTTTCATGTTGTAGATGGTTGTAGCCCAAGACATTTCGGGACGCCACCAAAAGTTTCCACGCGACGAGTGAGTGAGTGGATGAGCTGAGCCAGCCAGGTCAAGCTGGCTAGCCTGGCTAACCAGGCTGGCTCACCACATATGAACGTGGTTTACGGTCGTTTCGATTCGCCTACGAGTCGTTTCGCCAGCGTCCTGAATCAGAAAAAGTTTCCGGCAATTGTACTTTTTAACAAAAAGTTCAACTCTGCTTAGTAGTTAAAACCAGCAGAAAAACTAAGTTTCTGCATTCATTTTCCGTGGAACAATATGCAAAATTGTTACCTTTTTTGTCTATGCTTGTGGTTTAGGTTAAAAGTTAAGAAAAGGTACCTTTTTTGGAAAAAGAAGTCAGGTATTTTCAGTTTTCGAGTGAATGATATTTTGATGTCAATATTGTCCACTCTTCGTCCGTTTCTCACTTTACCAAACGATGATTTACAGCGCGTTAGAGTTTCTCGTACCTTTTTGACAATTTCAAGCGATCTCATAAAAGGCGCAAAAAGGTACCTTTTTTGCAGTTGGAAGCGATGTTCTCAAATGTGCCAAAATGGAACCCGGCTTTTTTGCTGTTGGAAGTGATGTTGTTAAAAGTGCGAAAAGGTACCTTTTTAAAAATATGAAATAGTGTTTTCAAGCTTTTGGGAAGCCATTTAAAATCCTACTCTATACTGCTTGACAGATGTCAACCGTTAACACCTCTTGAGCTTCAATGAACGATGCACAGACTTTTTAATTTTTAGCGCATTCTGCAATGTAGGTGATCCTGTTAAAATGGTCGCTTCTTTTAGCCAAGATCAAAAGCGAGAAACTCGAAGAAATCCGAAGATACTGGCCACCAGCCAAATGGATAAAATGACTCCTAAAAATGTAGCAACTTCTAGTACTTTAAAACTAGATGCAAGCTCAGCAAGCGTGGAGCAAATACTTTAACCTGAAAGAAGTCCTACATGTAAAGCAAAGGTGTTCATTTTTCTTTTCCTTTAAGTCTAAACTGAGCGGGTTCCGAGCAGGTCATTTTAATAACTATCTTGTCTCGTGGGTGATGTTTTTCACTCCAGA